CAAGAGAATGAGCAGATGCCTTGTACCGGCCCTTTAAAAACTCTTCCTCTTGGAAGTGGCAGAAAGGTTAGAATCACATAATGGGTATAGGGTAATGGGCCCTAATGCACATTGAGCTTAGCAATGTGCATTTGTGGTGAGCTACTTATCAATTCAACTACTTATCAATTCAGCTACTTATCAATTCAACTACTTATCAATTCAGCTACTTATCAATTCAACTACTTATCAATTCAGCTACTTATCAATTCAGCTACTTATCAATTCAACTACTTATTAATTCAGCTACTTATCAATTCAACTACTTATTAATTCAGCTACTTATCAATTCAGCTACTTATCAATTCAGCTACTTATCAATTCAGCTACTTATCAATTCAACTACTTATCAATTCAACTACTTATCAATTCAACTACTTAACAATTCAACTACTTATCAGTTCAACTACTTATCAATTTAACTACTTATCAATTCAGCTACTTATCAATTCAGCTACTTATCAATTCAGCTACTTATCAATTCAACTACTTAACAATTCAACTACTTATTAATTCAACTACTTATCAATTCAATCCCGGCCTTCTAATGGAACGGTGCATTTTGACGTGTACTGTACACAAGGCTAAAAATTGTCGTACTAGAAAATGAACGCGGCTTGCGAAACTGACGTACTGTCCCGTTTTCTATTTTGGGTCCTCTGGTAGGTTAGGAGAGGGCACTTCAGTACGGCAGTTTCTTGAAGATGGGAACCGTAGGAGGACAGACTGATCATGCACCACGCACCCATCCGGAGGGGCGGGGAGAAGGGTATATTTCTGGTAGCATATAACTGTTAATTTGATACTTTGACATTTATTGAAGATCCGTGAAAGATATTTCTCTAAATTCTTGAATCTTCCTATTCCATGACAGCGATGCTGGGTGTTCGGATAGTTTAATTTCATCTCCCGGGATTACATCAAGCCGAGAGAATTATCAGGGAAAAGCGCCAAGCCAATACGACTATATAGCACTGGGAGGGGGGGGTCAGGATAAGGATTTGGGATGGGACGGAGGGAAGGAATGGTGCCCAACTACTTGGAGGGTCGGGGATTGAACGCCGACCTGCATGAAGCGAGACCGTCGCTCTACCGTCCAGCCCAAGTGGTTGAAGAGCTGAAGCCTTAGTTAAGCAGTAGCGTCATCTAAAACTCTGCTGAGTTACACACAGAAATCACAATAGCGTGATGTATCAAATGAACAAATCCACAAGGGCCGTGACGAGGATTCGAACCTACGTCCGTGAGCATCCCAGACGCTGCCTTAATCGACTGAGCTACGACATGGTAATAAGAATTGCAACCAGAAATTTTTTCACTCTGTTGAGTTTATGGGATGGTCCATAGATACGTAGCTCTTCTTAAACGATAGAACTATGATAGATGGAATAGTTAACTTGGATAACCCACATTAGTGATGACGTTTCGGTCCGTCTTGGTTCATATCTATAGTGTCTCCACGTGTCCAACCACTTGGCCTGGTCCGCTTCATGCAGGTCGTCGTTCAATCCCCGACCGTCCAAGTGGTTGGGCACCATTCCTTTCCCACCGTCCCATCCCAAATCCTTATTCTGACCCCTTCCCAGTGCTATATAGTCGTAATGGCTTGGCACTTTCCCTTGATAATTCCTTGCTTCACATGTGTGGGTTGGAGGGAGTTGTTTCAGTAACATTATTACGACGTATTCTCTGTAGCTGATATAGAAGGGTCTCGGTAGTACAGTCGGCTTCGTTCTCGCCGCACAAACAAGAGTTCCGGGTTCAAAATCCCAGGTCGGACCAAACTGGTTGGGCACATTTCCTTTCATTGAATGCCTCTGTTCACCTAGCAGTAAGTAGGTACTCAGGAGCTAGTCAGCTTGTTATGGGGTTGCATGGGCTGAGTTATAGGGTCAGTAATTCGTCTTTGGGGGGCCTCGATAAAAGCCAAAACGTGTATGAATACACTCTGGCTCCCTGTCCCCGACACACTGAATTAGAATTCACACGAAACAATGAAAGAAAACGAAGAACCTCCAATAAGTAGAGGGCAAACTTAGCCTCATTGAATAACGGCACCCAACCCAATCCCCGCCGCGCCTAATGCTTTATAATGCCTTTTACAATAAAAAAAAAGAACCGGGGCAATATACATCATATGTTGGCCTTATATTTCGCGCACTTCTCTTGCCAGATCCCTCAAGCCTCCTTAACATGGCCCTAATATCTCACCAGGGACTCATTATTTCCCTATTATAGTAAATTTTCCCTAGATGTGCCCTTTTTTTTTTGTTAATCTGAGTAATAATACCGTAGTGAGGCAGGGAGGGAGGGACAGAGGAGGGGTGGATAGAGGAAAGATAGTGAGATTGGTTTTTATTATTTATTTTTTTTATTCTGAACACCATATCCATTCCGTGGGCGGTGGTGGAAAGGGTTACAGAGGCACATAATCGGTTCAGGAATTGAACCCTCTAGTTCGTTTAGCTAAGCAAGTGACTATCTTTTGAAGCTTGTTACATAATTGTTAATGTTACATATACATGTACATATATATTCAGTCATTTACACAAATACATATACACATCAGTAATCTGTTTATATCATAAGTGATTCAACAAGAGGCTCACAACAGTCGCTATATAAGGTACTTTACATCTATGGTGAGTCACACAGTTACTAGTCTTGCTCCACACCCACCCAACTGGGCGGCAGCTTTACAGTCATGTGCTCCACACCCACCCAACTGGGCGGCAGCTTTACAGTCATGTGCTCCACACCCACCCAACTGGGCGGCAGCTTTACAGTCATGTGCTGCACACCCACCCAACTGGGCGGCAGCTTTACAGTCATGTGCTCCACACCCACCCAACTGGGCGGCAGCTTTACAGTCATGTGCTCCACACCACCCAACTGGGCGGCAGCTTTACAGTCATGTGCTCCACACCCACCCAACTGGGCGGCAGCTTTACAGTCATGTGCTCCACACCCACCCAACTGGGAGGCAGCTTTACAGTCATGTGCTCCACACCCACCCAACTGGGCGGCAGCTTTACAGTCATGTGCTCCACACCCACCCAACTGGGCGGCAGCTTTACAGTCATGTGCTCCACACCCACCCAACTGGGCGGCAGCTTTACAGTCATGTGCTCCACACCCACCCAACTGGGCGGCAGCTTTACAGTCATGTGCTCCACACCCACCCAACTGGACGGCAGCTTTACAGTCATGTGCTCCACACCCACCCAACTGGGCGGCAGCTTTACAGTCATGTGCTCCACACCCACCCAACTGGGCGGCAGCTTTACAGTCATGTGCTCCACACCCACCCAACTGGGCGGCAGCTTTACAGTCATGTGCTCCACACCCACCCAACTGGGCGGCAGCTTTACAGTCATGTGCTCCACACCCACCCAACTGGGCGGCAGCTTTACAGTCATGTGCTCCACACCCACCCAACTGGGCGGCAGCTTTACAGTCATGTGCTCCACACCCACCCAACTGGGCGGCAGCTTTACAGTCATGTGCTCCACACCCACCCAACTGGGCGGCAGCTTTACAGTCATGTGCTCCACACCCACCCAACTGGGCGGCAGCTTTACAGTCATGTGCTCCACACCCACCCAACTGGGCGGCAGCTTACCTTTTTTATATTTATTATATACTTAACGAGCTTCAAACGTCACAATGAAAGATTATTATTGAATAAACAACTGCGTAGGGCTTCGGAGCTCATTTTTTTAAATAAATTTCAACAAAATCTGCATAATTGGAAAAGATGTAAAGGTTTCGTAGCGGAATATGTAAATGATCGATGACTCCTGGCTCTGAACTAATACTGAAGTTGTGGTACGTTTTGTAGAAATAAATATCCACAGTTCCTCGGCGGGTCACATTGTCAGAGTGGTCTAAACCCCAGATAAACAGACCCAACCCAACTTAACCTATCACAACGCAACGCAACCTAGACTATCCTAGCCTAACCCAACACAACCTGGACTATCCTAAACTAACCCAACGCAACCTAGACTATCCTAGCATAACCCAACATAACCTAGACTATCCTAACCTAACCCAACGCAACCCAGACTATCCTAGCCTAACCCAACGCAACCTAGACTATCCTAGCCTAACCCAACGCAACCTAGACTATCGTAACCTAACCCAACGCAACCTAGACTATCCTAACCTAACCCAACGCAACCTAGACTATCCTAACCTAACCCAAAGCAACCTAGACTATCCTAACCTAACCGAACACAACCTAGACTATCCTAACCTAACCCAACGCAACCTAGACTATCCTAACCTAACCCAACGCAACCTAGACTATCCTAACCTAACCCAAAGCAACCTAGACTATCCTAACCTAACCGAACACAACCTAGACTATCCTAACCTAACCCAACGCAACCTAGACTATCCTAGCATAACCCAACGCAACCTAGACTATCCTAGCCTAACCCAACGGAAATAATAGATAACATTTTGCGTTTAATATATGGTGGACACGAGGTGGGTGACGTAACGATGACGTCACGATGACGTAACGTTGACGTCTTAATGCTCATCTCGATACAGGTTTGAGATCTTCCTGTAGTTTCCAGGCTGTTGACAAACAATGCGATCGTGCGACAATTTCCTAAACCAGCCCATTCTTTCGATTGACCTCTCCGTAAAAAATGTAACTGTTTCTCCCTAGCCAGAAAAGTAAACAAACCCAAGCAACCGACCTTAACCTATCGAAGCTGATGGATAAAACTTGGTAGGTTTGTTACGTAAAAAATGCGACCTATTAGGGCTGATTTGTTGTCGCTACATTGGTCAGAGAGTGAGGGTAAGCGATTCCGAACACCTTGACATACGCGGGTATTAACTGCGCTGACTTAAGCACCATAAATATGGAGGAATTGTCTAAAAATTTGGGTAAGAATGACAGGAGAATACAAAAAAATATTTGGCACCTCAGTTTTTTTGTAATTCTACCTGTCGTGATTAATGTCGTAAGTCAGGTAGCAGCTGGTTGTTGGGGACGAGGTAGATGCTGGGGAAGAGGTAGCTGCTGGCTGCTGGGGACGAGGTAGCTGCTGGCTGCTGGGGACGAGGTAGCTGCTGGCTGCTGGGGACGAGGTAGCTGCTGGCTGCTGGGGACGAGGTAGCTGCTGGCTGCTGGGGACGAGGTAGCTGCTGGCTGCTGGGGGCGAGGTAGCTGCTGGCTGCTGGGGACGAGGTAGCTGCTGGCTGCTGGGGACGAGGTAGCTGCTGGCTGCTGGGGGCGAGGTAGCTGCTGGCTGCTGGGGGCGAGGTAGCTGCTGGGGGCGAGGTAGCTGCTGAAACTGTTGTACCATGGAAGTAAAATATCTTAAAAGTGGAGCTTCGCAGATTACCTATTCCGTTCTCTTGATATGCTAAGATTAAACAAACTAAAAGATAAGATACGTCAACACCTTAATCCTGAAAGTAATTGACAGCCTCGCCTCGCGAGAGAGTGGACCGGATCCTCAGCAGGATGGGACAATTGGCTACCGTTCCTTCACTCCCTTCGCCCCTATGCGCCCAGCAGCATCTGGGGACCTGGATGTAAAACAGATGGCGGATCATGCAACCCGTTCTCGCACTTGCTTTTAGTCAATATTGGCTTATTTAATAAGTGCATATGTGGCATACTAATTGATTGTGAATATTTTAGTTTACCTAGAAAAGCTTCAAAGAAAACATCCACCTCACCTAACCTTCTTAGTATGTTAAGATAAGCATCTTATTGCTTCTTATTTACAATTATTACTTAACCTATCAATGGTATAGGTTAAGTAATAATTGTAATTAAGAAGCAATAAGATGCTTATCTTAACATATCAACGGTATAGGTTAAGTAATAATTGTAATTAAGAAGCAATAAGATGCTTATCTTAACATACTAAGAAGGTTAGGTGAGGTCGGTGTTTTCTATGAAGCTTTTCTAGTTAAACTAAAATATTCACAATCAATTAGTATGTCACATATGCATTTATTAAATAAGCCAATATTGACTATAAGCAAGTGCGAGAACGGGTTGGATCATGCTAGGAAGTCGTTGCTCTCTACACAGCCGTAAGCCGCCTCACAGCACACATAAAATTCGACATAAAAAATGTCGTTAACGTTGCTAATTCCAGTGGCCTTTATGTCTTATTTTGCCATAGAAATATGGGGCTGGAAGTTGATGCTGCTGCTGTTGCTGCAGCTACTGCTCCTGCTGTTGCTGCTGCTACTGCTCCTGCTGTTGCTGCTGCTACTGCTCCTGCTGTTGCTGCTGCTACTGCTCCTGCTGTTGCTGCTGCTACTGCTCCTGCTGTTGCTGCTGCTACTGCTTCTGCTGTTGCTGCTGTTACTGCTCCTGCTGTTGCTGCAGCTACTGCTCCTGCTGTTGCTGCAGCTACTGCTCCTGCTGTTGCTGCTGCTACTGCTCCTGCTGTTGCTGCTGCTACTGCTCCTGCTGTTGCTGCTGTTACTGCTCCTGCTGTTGCTGCTGCTACTGCTCCTGCTGTTGCTGCTGCTACTGCTTCTGCTGTTGCTGCTGTTACTGCTCCTGCTGTTGCTGCTGTTACTGCTCCTGCTGTTGCTGCAGCTACTGCTCCTGCTGTTGCTGCTGCTACTGCTCCTGCTGTTGCTGCTGCTACTGCTCCTGCTGAAGTTGGTGCTGCTCGTGCTACTGTTAGTACTACTACTGTTACTGCTACTTTATTATTAATACTTTACTACTAACGACGATTATTGATGCAGGGACAGTTTTCCCTGCTACATATCTTCAGAGAGAAGTATAAAACAAATATGATAATGTAGGCAAGACGCAAAGGGCGATAAAACAACAAGGAGCAAGAGGGTGATATATACCAAGGAGAGAGAGAGAGAGAGAGAGAGAGAGAGAGAGAGAGAGAGAGAGAGAGAGAGAGAGAGAGAGAGAGAGAGAGAAGGGGGGGGGATGGAAAAAGCAGTTTATTCATGGCCCTTAAAATCTGGACGATAAAGGGAGTTGTGTGAGGCGACGCGAGCGATAATGAGGGCTAATGACCTGCTTGGCGGGGCTGAGGATACGCTAGCCTAGCCTAGCCTAGCCTAGCATAGCATAGCCTTCCGACCAGAGTTGTTTATCAGTTTGTTATTCAGTCGTGTCCCTCTCTCTCCCTCCCCGGCTAATGTAGATATATCGCTGTTTTCAGGCGTGGGGATTTTTCAACGCTTGATAGTCCCCAATGTATACATATGACCTTCTGGTGTGTGTATATCAAGCTATCGTTCATAACAACTAATACAAGTTGTTACAACTCTGGCTGCATTGAACATATATATATATAAATATATACAGTAGTGTAAAACAAACATATTTGTATTCATAACTTCAATAACATACACACACATATACATATATAGATATTTATATAGATATTTTATATAAATATTTGTGAGTTATACCTTTTGGATTCAAAAATACAGGTGGTATGGACTGGTGTTTTTGTGAGAGATTTCCTCACAACAGTGAAGCTTTTTGTGAATATTTAGAAATTCTTGGCGTTCCGCCTTGAGGATAAAAAGAAAAAAAAGCTGCAATTTAAAGTTTTTACCTGTTTTTATTTATGAGCTATCGACTCGTCCTCTGTTACTAGATTTTTTGGCTAAAAAAAAGTATTTGATATGTCATGGTAGGAAGGAGAAAAGTTTAGATAGAGAATGTAATGTCATGAGGCTGTGCTGAGTCCTATTTGGTCTCCCATAGTTCTATTTACAAGGATTGAGCTCCAGCTCCTAGCTCCCGCTTCTGGGTAGTTGTGATGATTGACATGGAGATGGTGGTGATAGTGACGATGACGGGGAGGGGGAGGTTTCCAGGGAGTTCAAGTTCAAGTATGTTTATTGAGACAAGAAAAAATACATCTCAAAGGGATAGAGTAGCTTAGGCTATTTCAACCCCCCTCTACTTCAAGTCCCTCAAGGGGCGCACAAATTCAGTGAGTACAGATACACAAATCACAATACAAGGAGATTATGGTAGTGTTGGAGGGGAGAAGATGGTAGTGGTTTTGGGGGGAGAGTGTTGGTGCAAGCCATTGTGGGAGCCGCTTCTTGTGGGGGAAGTGTTGGAGGCCAGGCTGACCCTCCCGGGAGACCTGTGGGAGGGGAAGCTGAAGGAATTATGGCCGTTATACAAGAATAATGAGACAAAGTTTACTGGCGGGCGGAATCAGGTGGTAGAGGAAGAAAACAGAGGGGAAGAAAGTACAAGTAAAAAGAAAAAATTAGTTGGCAGGAGGGGGAGTGAAAATATAGATAAATATAATAGAAAGGGTGAAATATAATGAGAGAGGAACGAAAAAAAATTATGTAAAGATAACAAAATGAATGTAGAAAGGAGAAGAGAGAGAGGAAAAACAAGACATTCATGTAAGGTGAAGGAAAGAGACTAGGGAAGGGAGGAAACAAGAGAGAGAAAGAAAGAGAGGAGGAAAGAGATTTGCATTCGTATTCCTATTTTCGTAAATAAACTGATGTAATTATTCAGTTTCATTGTTGCTACACAAAGCTCTTGAGTGGAAGAGAATTTCATCGAGTACATGAGGGAACTTTAGTGAATGAACTTGAGTCTGTGTGAACTCACCTACCTCTTCTTGTAGAGTGCCGTTCGGCCGAGCGGACAGCACACTGGACTTGTGATCCTGTGGTCTTGGGTTCGATCCCAGGTGCCGGCGAGAAACAATGGGTAGAGTTTCTTTCACCCTATGCTCCTGTTACCTAGCAGTAAAATAGGTACCTGGGTGTTAGTCAGCTGTCACGGGCTGCTTCCTGGGGGTGGAGGCCTGGTCGAGGACCGGGCCGCGGGGACACTAAAAGCCCCGAAATCCTCTTGCAAGATAACTTCTTACGGAGAATGTGCTCTAGCTCCTGGGTCCCTCAATTCCAGCCTTTAATCAACTGGTGTACAAGCTTTCCAACTATTTGTACTATGTGTATTGAGTCTAACCCCAACCAGCATGTACTTAGTTTCCTCTTGTCTCTCTTCGTTCGAATACGTCTATGCCGAGGACAATCTATTAGTTCCACTGAATATTTTGTATATCGTGATCATATCTTCCCCCGGTTCTTCTTTTTGTTGTTGCAACTACCGTCGTCATTCTATTGAACTGGGTTGCAGTGCCAATTATGAACAATAAGATGCAAGATGCCAGTACACCAGCAAGCGCCACCTCAATCTTCGACAATGGCGACCGGATAGGTATACTTACCATTCTCTTAGACAAAGGTATTGATAGAAATAATTTAAACTATCATTAACAATCATCGACCTTTTTAATGATTTTCGAAATAAAAGCTCGTGCCCAACACAACATTCATAAGATCTAATATACCAAAATTCACAAAAGGAGCTGGGAGTGGTACATATATGTACTCCCCTGTACTCACATATACTTCCGTGGACTCTCGTTTCGGAATACGTGTTACAGATTGGAGTGGAATGAGGCAGGTATAGTGACAGAAGAGGACAGAGGAGGCAAATGAGAGAGAGAGAGAGAGAGAGAGAGAGAGAGAGAGAGAGAGAGAGAGAGAGAGAGAGAGAGAGAGAGAGAGAGAGAGAGAGAGAGAGAGAGAGAGAGAAAAAGGAGATAATGGAGACTGTGTGCGGGTGGAGAGGGTGGTTGTAGCTCTGGCCGGCCACGCCTCTTCGGTGTTTCTGTAATGAAATCCTGTGGGGAAAATTTAAATACAGTGAGCATCAGCAGTCCCCCACTTTATCTGTCCACACACCCCCACCCACCACGACCCCCACCGCCACGACCCCACTACACCACGACCCCCACCACCACGACCCCACTACATTACACATTGGAGGAGAGGTGAGGAATGGGGGTGTGACACTACGAGGAAGGATTTGGTGATGGAATGGATACCTCTTTACCCCTTCCCGTGCCTCTTCGCCAACCCTCAGGACCTCACCAACCATCCCCCCATCACTCCACTGTATCCATATACCGTCACCAGACGTTACAGAAAGGCGCCATACAGCGGTCAGGCGTTACAGTGCGGTTACACGGCGGCCAATCGTCGGTGGGTCCCTATAAACGCCAGAGGTATTCATAACTCCCTTCCATTGGATGCGTTGCTTGCCCGAGTGGTGGTAGTAACAGTGGTGGTGGTTATCTTGAGGTTATCTTGAGATGATTTCGGGGCTTTAGTGTCCCCGCGGCCCGGTCCTCGACCAGGCCTCCACCCCCAGGAAGCAGCCCGTGACACCTGACTTACACCCAGGTACCTATTTACTGCTAGGTAACAGGGGCATAGGGTGAAAGAAACTCTGCCCATTGTTTCTCGCCGGCGC